GCTGTTAAACGCTTGCTCTGAATAACAGACTGGCATCTAGCTTGAAGGCAGGTGGCTACTTGGCATCCCCATACATAGGGGTTGTCTTGCTTACTCCTTCTTTCAGGGTGGCAACGAAGTATGACAAATATTGCTCCCCCCTCATTTTAAGGAAGGTGGCTCCTATGAAGGAGACATCATCTCATAGTGTCCATAATGCTTAATCTTTGTTGATACTTTAGTGTGTTGAAAATGTTCTACACTCGGTGCCTCAATCATCCTAGCAGTAAACCTGTAAAGGAGCGAAGGATTATGCTTGTGTTATATACTGGATGGGTTAGGCTGAGAGGGAAGAGGCTTTCCTAAAACTGATAAGGTGATGGCACAGGTGAAATTTCAACCTATAGGTTTACACTCTCTGGGCCACAATACAGTGGTACCTCGCAAGACGATTACCCCTCAAAACAACGAATCCGCACGACAACGAGGTTTGCGACCGCCATTTTGCTTCGCAAAACAGTGGTTCCTATGGGGGAATTTCACTGGATGACAATTTGGTCCGTGCGTCGCGGACCGTTTTTTCGCAAGACCGTCAGCTTCGCAAAATGGTTTCCCTAGGGGCGATCTTTGCAAAATGGGTGTTTTCGGGCCCGTTTTTTGCAAGACAGCGATTTAAAACAGCTGATCGGTGCTTCGCAAAGCGGCTTCCCTATGGGTGGTTTTCGCTGGACGACGACGATTTTTCCCCATTGGAACGCATTAAACAGGTTTCAGTGCATTCCAATGGGGAAACGCTTTTCGCAAGACGATGTTTTCATAAGACAGCGATTTCAATGGCACGAATTAACATCGTCTTGCGGGGCACCACTGTACTGCAGTAGCTGTTAGAGGTGAGAGGTGGTTTTTGTTGTTGTTTAGTCAGTAAGTTGTGTCCGACTCTTTGTGACCCCATGGACCAGAGCACGCCAGGCCCTCCTGTCTTCCACTGCCTCCCGGAGTCGGGTCAAAGTCATGTTGGTCGCTTTGGTGACACTGTCCAAGAGGTGGTAGCACGTGGAAAAGAATGCTGCCAGTCTAAACAGGGTGGTGGATACCTGAAGAACTTTAGTTTTTTGAGGAAGGTTGTGCAAATCTGTCATAAGTGAGGCAGCCGGGGTGAACAAATACTCAGCTGAGGTGCTGTGACAAGTAAAAGGGTTGCTGGGGTGGATATGGGGCAGTTCTTGGCACTTCAGTCCCGTAGTGCGGTGTAGTAATGTTGAGTGTTTGATTCGGGTCCAGGCCCCCACTGAGTCGCAGAGGTCACAGGTGGACTTAGAACTGAGTCACATTTTCTTTCAGCTTGACCTTCCTGGCAGGGTCGTTGTGTGAACAAAGCGGAAAGGAGAGGGTGACCTTGGAGCTGTGTACTTTACCTTGAAGAAATGACAGAGTACCTGTGTAGAAATAACAACTAGCAAGCAAGATTTTGAGCTTTTTCTTCAATTGAATTTAACGCTAGAAAGGGGGGAGTCAAAACATTTCCACATCTGCATTCTAGAAATTGACTGTGAACAATTTTGAACAAAGATCTGTACGGGTGGTATTAAACTTCTAGGGACTTCCAGCAAGACACCCTGTGACGCCCCTCTTGTGTCCTGGTTACCCTACTGTAATGGTAATTTCCTAGGGAGAAGAGCACGCCATGTGGAACAGCGTTCATGAATAAAAATCAGTGAATAGGTGACGCTTACACAAGCAGATTGTCCTTCAGCTCCCGCAGCCAGTTTTTCCGAAGTGCTGGCAAGCAGGGCTTTGAAAAGTTAACGTTTCGGACTACGGACCCCAGCATCCTCCAGCCACTTTACTAATTTGGGGATTCTGAGAAGTGTAGTTTAAAAAAAAGAGTTAAATGTTACTGTGTGGCTGGTGAGAGGCCTTGAGGAGGCAGCTGGCAGGCCTCCTGATGGTCTGTGCCTTTCCGCTTTCGCAGTCTTTAACCTTCGGGGTGTTTGCTTAATGGGGCCAGCTGGTATCTCACTAGCAGACCTTGAGTGGCTGGAGTCTTGGGTTCCGTAGTGAAGCTGATATTTGGCGACTGCCTGGCTGGCTGTTGAGGGAAGCAGCTGTGGAGGTTGGGGAGTCATGCCCTCCAATGCCCCCTGGGTCGCAGAATGGGCTCTTTTTGAAGGGGAGGCAGCACGGAGTTGTGGTCCAGGAAGAGAGGTATTAAAACTTTTATTACATAGATTCCCCTGGGCAGTGTATGTATTGCATACGTTTTAGTTGACAGGCCTGCAACCTCTTTCCCTGAATTACCCCTATATGTTTCTTAGACTTGATGGAATGTTGTTTCCCTCCTTCAAAATCCAAAGCAACAACAACAAGCCCCCCCCAAAAAACACAAAACCCTTTATTGGAATGCCGTTGTATTAAATTTATTGGAATGCTAGCATATTGCCCACGAGCAATGTTGGCAACTTGTAGAATTCCACAGGTCTCTTCTTTGGGCAGACCTGGAATGAGAGGAGAATATGAAAGCTTGCATGGCCCTTTGGATTCTGGAAGTTGTAGGCCAAAAAGTTTCCCAAACTCTGTCATTTTGTCCTATCTCTTTACCCCATAGCTCTGCCTTTGGGTTGCATACCTTGTGCCACCTTCTCTCTTACGTGGTCTGGATCCTTTAGCCATGGATTAGAAGCTCTACTCTTTTCAGTGCATCGGAAAGCAAAGCAAAACATACTGCTTATATAACGTCCCATAGTGCTTAAAGTTCTCTCTGGATGGTTTGATATTTAATTATGCAAGCTACACATGTGCCCTCTCACCCCCTCCCCCAAGCTGGGTACTCATTTACAGAGCTTGGAAGGATGGAAAGCTGAGTCAACTTTGAGCCAGCTGCCTGAGCCCAGAATTGAACTCAGGTTATGAGCAGAGTCCTTACTGCAATACTGCAGTTTAACCACTGTGCCACAAGGCTTCCTAGGATTGCGTCCCCCACTTTTGAATGTCTCAAGTGCATTTATACGCCTGTGAAGTGCAGCCTTCTTTTCTACCTTTGTTTCTTTTCCTAGCCATGTTATTGAGATACATTGGCCGAAGCTTAGGGGCATCAGAGTAAATCCCACTAGGAAAGCAGCACTGCTCTTAGAGCTTTAAATTGTGGATTACACCTGCCTGTCTCTATGAGTGGCACTTTTGTGTCATGCATTATGAGTGGCCGGTGTCTGTCCTATAGCGTCAGAAAAAAAGTTTGGGGAAAACACAGAAATACAGTCCCCCCAGAAATCCCCAGGTGTCATCTTTATTGATTATTGCTAGCTAATACATTCTGGGAGTTGTCCCCAAGCCCGTTAATCGATTTGCTTTGCCACCTATGAAATGATCTCCAGATCAAGTCTGGAGAAGTTACTTGTTTAGACGGTCACCCCTAGAATCCAGCATGCTGGCTGGAAGTTCTGTAGTCTGCACAAGTAACTTTTCAGAGGAAGGCAGTTACTTGTGATACTGTAATGTCTCTGCTTCTGGCTCCTTCCCATTGGGGTAAGGATGTGGAATAGAGTTGAGCTGGAAAATGTGTCCCCAACTCCAGTATTCCTAAACTCTGCAATTCAGGAATATGTTTTGAGCAATGCGTGACTGCTAGCACATTATTGTCTTGTGTGTGTTTATGTGTGTTTTTAACCATGTGAAGTTGCGTGAACCCTAACCTCTGGTCATCATTCAGAGAATAGCCTTTCTCCTTTGCCTTAATTGCTTCAAACACTGCTTGCCCAACATGATGGCAGTCTACCCATTCTGGTGATCTGTAGGAATTTCATTCCCCAGTTTCTGTCCTAGGAAGTTTGAGACCTGTTCATGCTTCACCTCCACCTTGAGGGGCTACCAATTGTCAATTTTTCTTCCTTGTAAGGCAGTGATGAAATTCTTGTTCTCCTCTGTGCCTTGGGGGGGGGAACATTGTGACTGTACACGGCAGTGGTTCCCAGCCTTGTGTCCCCAGATGTTCTGGGACTACAACTCCCTAAAGTTCTGGTCAGTGCAGCTGTTGGTGAAGCCTTCTTGGAAACAGAAAAAGGAGTAAATTGTAGGAGGATGGAATGATAGTTTCACTCTGTCTATGCTTGGTCCCAGTAGCCACCTGGAACTAAATCGCATATTAATTTGGACCGTGTATTGTGCACGTCTGTTGTGCAAATAGTGTATGGATCACTTTTGCTGCCCCCATTTCCATTGAGGAAATGGAGGCTGAGATTGGTCCCAAGCCAGGGCCCATCGTACGGGCTTGAAGTGATGAAACATAAGCACCTCCCCTTATTCTCCCTAAAAAGCTATTTGAACTCCTGCTTTCCTTCTTGCCTTTAAGTGCATTTATTCCCACTTGCCTTTATTCACTTGGAGTCAAACGCAGAAGACTCTGCAGATCCCTCTTTTTTCCATCTGTAGATTGGGACGGAGGTGAGGCAGGGCACCCTCCGCCACCACCAGTGTCTCTTGTGAATGTGAGTGCCGTGAAATGGTGTGGCATCTGGGCTGGCTCTGCCATCTGTGTAGCGCCTGCCTCTGGTAGCGCAGGTGGGTGTCTGGTTGCTTGGCCCTGCCAGGAGGGAGAGGCCGGCTGGGCGAGGCGAGACCGGACTAGCCTGGGTCAAGAGCCTGCCTGCCTGCCTGCCTGGGCAGTGCAAGTGACTCAGGCATGTGTAGGCGTGGGGTTTTCTCTGACTGGTTTGGGCAGTGCTGGGGCGGAATGGCTGTGACTGTGGGTGGGGTTTTGGGTGCTCCTCGGTTCTCCTTCGGCTCTCTCTCTCTGTGTCTGTCTCAGTGTCTCTGCAGTGCAGCAGACTCTGCGATCTGACACCACCGGCAGCGGCTCCCAGCACTCATGTTCCTGGCGCTCCCAGGGTGGGGGTGGGGGGCTGTCCCCTGCCTTGCCCATGTTTGGCGAGCTCGACCCTCCCCGCCACGCACCAGCAGGTTTGCAGGCTGATATTCTCTCTCTTTCTCCCCCCCCCCCAACTCGCCTGTCCCATCTCACCCCCCCAAAAAAGCCTGGCAGATGAAAAGTCTCAGCCGCTTGCAAAACTGGCCTGGGATTTTTTTTGGTTAGGGGTAAGTATTTTTACTCTCTTTGATATCATATATATATTTCTAAGCATGTATGTATCTCTGGAGACAGAAAGGACCTCTGTCCTTTTGTTTGGCGTTGTGGAAAAGTCTGGGAGGGTGGGGTTGGGAGTGGAGGTGAATTTGAAAGTGCTAAATTTCTCTTCCCCCCCCTTCCTTGTACAGTATGTTGTTGGGCCTGGAGACTGTCTGGGCCTTTGCCTGGGGGAGGGAGGGGGACATGCTTGACCTGCAGCTGGCCTACATGACAGATTCTCCTTGCATGCTTTGTGTTTGTGGGNNAGGATGTCTTCCACTTTCCCCTCAACCCTTAGCACCAGCTCTTGCCTTGACATGGATGGTCCAGGAGTCTCCGGCGAATCCAGATATTCACTGACTCGGTTTGCATCAGGGGCTTGATCCCCTTCCATCTCCTCGGGGCCTTCGGCTTTGGTTTTCAGAGAGAATGTACTCTTCTTCCCTGCCCAAAGAGCTGCCCCGGGGTGTCTGGCTTTGCAGCAGGGGTAGTTCTGTTGCCGCCATGTCCGGGCACTTTGAGGCGGTATCTCTTGTAGGCTGAGCCTCATAGCACCATAGGGACTTGCTTTCTATAGGAAGGGCTGCATCTTGTCCTCCCCCACCCTCAGCGCCTTTGCATGATGCTGCATCACAGGTGGGGTGGGTGCCTAGGAATGAGGGGTGATCGTTGCAAACCCTGGAGTGTCGGGGTAGCGCCGGTCCAACACTTTTCTCTCCTTCAAATCTCTGTTCTTGCCCGCTCCCTACAACTGCACATCTCACGTAGACATTTTGAACTGTGGCATATATAAAATGCAGGTCCTATTAAAGCACGAGTATTGCTTCCGAAGTATTGCTTGCTGAGAAGACAGGGAAAGAGAGAAAAGGACTTTTCTGAGAAATGGTCGCTCTGGCCATAAAATGCAGGTCCTATTAAAGCACGAGTCTTCCGAAGTATTGCTTGCTGGGAAGACAGGGAAAGAGAGAAAAGGACTTGAAGTAGACCTGAAGAATGCATCCACAATACATTTCATCTTTATGACCAGTCCTGTGAGTGAGATCTGCAGAAATGGAATATTTACTGTGCCAGAGTAAAGTGTCCTTAATAGTTCCACCTCCCACCTTAACAGTATTACTAAGCTATGCTGTGTGCTTAAATTGGAACTCTGCAGAAGCCTGGTTTTTGAGGGGTTTTTTTGCTTGCTTGTGTTTTGCTTTTTGCATTGCAAAGGCTTTTGACTTCTCTCCCCCCCAAGTCTTTGTAGCCTGAAATGCTGACAGCAGTAGCCTAGGGGTCAGGTTACAGCAGGGTGCTAGGCCTGTTCAGGTGGGGCAACCAAGGAGAGGGACCTAGCTTGGTCTGTTTAGGTAGTGCCCCAATTCTAGTTCACTTTGTGTCACAGAAGGCACTACCCTCTGTTCAGAACCAGAGCAGTCTGTTCTCAGATGATCCCACAGGATGGCTCTTGGTCTCCTGGCGGCAGTGCTCTTGCCCTGTCTGTCTGGGCTTTGCACCCTTACCAGCCCTTACGAAGCCTGTCAAATCACTAGAAGCTACTACCCTCTGTTCAGAACCAGAGCAGTCTGTTCTCAGAGGATCCCACAGGATGGCTCTTTGCTCTCTGGTCTCTTGGCGGCAGTGCTCTCGCCCTGTCTGTCTGGGCTTTGCACCCTAACCAGCCCTTACGAAGCCTGTCAACTGACCAGAAGCGTTTAATTCCACTTGTCCTAAGCATGTTCTTAGTAGTGCACACCCTGGGTGGTTCGTTCAGAACCAGAGCAGTCTGTTCTCAGAGGATCCCACAGGATGGCTCTTTGCTCTCTGGTCTCTTGGCGGCAGTGCTCTCGCCCTGTCTGTCTGGGCTTTGCACCCTAACCAGCCCTTACGAAGCCTGTCAACTGACCAGAAGCGTTTAATTCCACTTGTCCTAAGCATGTTCTTAGTAGTGCACACCCTGGGTGGTTCTCAGAATGAGTGTCCAGAAAGCCTTGGTTGCTTTTATTTTCCCCACTAAATTCCACCTTGGGGTGGGGTGTAGGTCGGTGCTTATTTGCCTGGAGACCTGACGTGTTCCATCAGGGATTATAATGGCTGGGGTAAGAGGGAAGAGCTGCCTTGATCCTTCAGAATGTATGTGATGAGTTCCTATCTGTCCTACAGTGTTTGGAAGTGCAGGGAGGCGACTGTGCTGGGAGGTTTTTAAAAGTAGTATTTTCAGGTACTGGTGGATGTCCTAGGAATATTCAGTTGGGCTTGGTAAAGGTACACCCAGGTTCAAGATAGTTGATCCTCTACAAAATATCACCTGGACAACTCACCTGTCACTTTGTTTATGCAGTAATGGCTTAAATTAGTTAAGGATCTCCATGAATGGAGAGTACGTGCTATGTAACTCTGAAATGCACTGGGGGAAAAAGATAAATGTTCTGTAAGAGGGAATTGTTTTCCCAGTGGCCTGTGGTTGCAGGGCTTAGTGTGAACAGAGCTTGATCTGTTAAGAAACCGCAGTTTAGCCAGATGATTCTCAAAATGGTTTCTCAGCTTGCAGCCTCAGAGCATGAGCTGTGGCTGCCATCAGCGCCATGGACTGGGCTGTTTTGTGCAGAATGGTTTAAGCTAACTGGGTGGCCTGGCCGTCATTTTTGGGGAAAACGCTTTTGTGTGATATTGTCTGTCCTTCAGCTTGCTTGGCAAGCCTCTGCACTCTAGGGGCGGCTTTCACCCAGAAATGTTCTTCTGCAGGATGCAGGTCTGTGAGAGACCCACCCTGCTGGGCATCTGTCTGGCCACTTTTGATGGCAGATGGGGAGGGGGGGACTCCGTTTTGCCCTCCTAAGGTCCAAGCTGGATTGTGCTGAGCTTCACTGCCGGATGGTGTCTTTTCAGCCATCCTTGTACTCCTTTGGTCATTCCCTCCGGAACTCTACATCTGAGCTATTTTGAGACAATATTAACTAGGGCTGGGAACAAGCTGACAAAGTCTTGTGCCTGGAATTAAATTGTCAGTACCACGGATAAAGATACAGACCACGTTTTCTTGGTGGGTGTTTATAATATTTGGGGAATCGCTTAGAAGCTGCAACGTGGGTTCTAGTTAATTCTGGAAATGGCAGGTGACTGACTAACTGAAGTTCAGCAGCCCTTATCTTCCTCTGCCATCTTAGTAGCAAGCATATTTTCAAATGAAATGCAAACAATCTCGTGGAGGAGCCTGTGCTTCATCCTGGATGGGTTAAATGCGTAGAACAGAGGCAATCATAATATTATATGGCAATCTATGTTTACAGTTTCTGTGAATTTGAGGCCTGTGTTGGAATTGGCCTCCCCAAGTTTGGAGACCAGATTACTCTTGTCTGAGTAATAATATAATTATAATTACATTCTGTCAGGTCTGTTCTGACTTATGGCGTACCTTTCCAGTAGGCATAGAGTATTCAAAATTATTTATCATTCCTTCTGGGGGTGCTCTGGAACCATGTAACAAGACCAAGTTGATGCGGAAAGACTCTTCTTCCAAAAGGCCCATTGGAGAATTGGATTCCCAATCTCTGGCTTAATATCCAAACCAAACTCACTGATCTCTAGGTCTCAGCCAACCTCCTCTGGTCAGTGCTGCAGAAATAAGAATTATCTGTACAGTGGTGCCTCGCAAGAAAAGTAATTCGTTCCGCGAGTAGCGCTGTCTTGCAAAATTTTTGTCTTGCGAAAAGCGGCTTCCCATAGGAATGCATTGCAATGCATTACTATGGGAAACTCGCAAGACGAATGAATTATTTTCGTCTTGCAAGGCATGGTTCTTGTGGGGGGAAAAAAATCCTGCGAAGCACGGCCATAGAAGAAGCCATCTTGCGAGGCACCACAGCGATCGCAAAAACCATTCCTCTTGTGGGTTTTTCGTACTGCGTGGTGTTCGTCTTGTGAGGCACCACTGTATCTGTATTAGAAGTCATGTGCTTGTCAGGGTGCCGAAGCACAGGCCTAGGCCTAGAGAATGGTTGTGTGATGTTGTAAAGCCTGAGCCATTGGATACGAGAGGATATGCAAGCCATTGTGTAAATGTTGTAGGCACTGAGCATGGTACACAGTAGTTTCCTGAGTGTCCTTTGGAAGTCAGGTTACTTGATTTCCCTCCTATGTACAGTATTCTCTTTTTTTTTATTCCTTGCGCTGGTCTTCATTCACATGATTTTGGGAGCTCTTCCTCTGCTCAGAAACCCCCCCCCCATGTTCGTTGGTCTTTGCGCACTCTCCCAATTTTCTTGTGGTGCCCAGTTTTAGCTTCCACTTTTCTCCAGCGAGATCTTGTTCCTGAACATTTCCTTGTAGCCCAGTTCCTTTTGAGTTCATTTTGATGATACCTCTCCTCTTCCATCCCAGCAGATAGCAAGGGGATCCTTATGCAGCACCACGTGAAATGAACAAAGCTCCACAGCCCTCAGGAGGAACCCCATCAGCCCCACACCCTTCCCCTTCTCCTGGACTTCCACAGGTAAGTCTTCTTCTTCCCAAGCCACTCGTCCTCTTCTGCGATGTTTAAGAAAAACGGTTCTGCCCTCTTTGCTAGCTCATTGGGCTGGTTGGTCATCTTTGGTGGTTTTGAAATAAAGTCCCTCCCCTCTGTGTGAGTTGCTCTAAATGCACATATTTGCAATTCACTTCTGTTCTCCTTGTGGCTAGCTTTTGTAGCAGTTTCTGTCCTAGCAGTCCTGCAAGTGGGACTTCAGTTCGGCTGTTCTTTAGACTCCTTTAGCAGACTTCCATTTTGGGATGGATCTCCATTTGTAGATGGAGGCAAGTGCTTCTCTTAGGCTGCTACTCCCATCGTGCCTCACCACCTGCTCTTGTTATCCAAAAACTATCTGGTAGTTGCAGCCTGATGGTATAAGGAGTGCTGCCCTTTGCCCACTATGTTAGTTAGACTGTAGTTGGGGGATGTCCATTGGGGCATCCACTGCAGCTGCTAATATGCTCCTCCTCTCTCCCCTTTCCTAGCAGGCAGCATTTCCTCCTGGCCAGACGACACCTGTGGTTTTTAACCCAGCGCAAGCTACCCAAATGAATACGCCTTCCCAGCCTCGACAGGTAAAGGGTGGGTGTGGCCAGCATTGCTCTGTTCTTGGGCCACGAGACCCTCTGGGGTGGCAGCCAAGTCTTCTCTCCTGCTAAACAGGTTCTTCTGTGTCGCTTGTGGCTTGGGAGATTGCTGGGTACCAAGAGCCCTGCATGCCTGACTCAGTCTGCAGGAGCTGCTGATTCAGGAGTGCCTCTGCGGTGCAGGCAAGGTTGGGGTTTTGCTGTGGCTCAACCCCGTGGAGCCAGCTGCGAAGTCCGAGGTGTGGCGGCAATTACCGAGTCCTTGTTTTATATCCTGATCTTTCTCCAAGTGGGATCAGGATAAGAGAGGGCAGGTAGGGCGGCCACTCCAGGGAGTAATAAGGTATAAGGTGTGGGAGGTGGCAGTAACTGTCGGTGATGTTCTGCTCTTGTCTTCTTCCCCCGTCCCCAACCTGCTGCTTTTTCCTGTCTTAGTTTCCAGCAGGGCCTCGTGCTTTACATCAGCAGGTACTAACCTTTCTCTGCTCCCCTCACCGCATGCTGTATGCCATCCTGGGGGGGGGGGTGGTCAACCATTTCAAGGATGTTGCTTGGACACTGTGGGGAACTGGCAGAAGGAATAAAGGCTAACCTGGCCCAAAGTAGGGAAAGACCTGAGAGCTGATGTAGTAGAGCTATTAAAAAGAACAAGCCGTAGAGTCTCCTGTTTCCAAACATGTGTTTGCTGTGAACCCTGTTGGGGTTTCCTGCCTCTGGCTTCCTCTCTGCAGTATGAATGTAATGATACCAGCCCACTTTACTGTGTGTGGATTAGTTGCAGGGGTTGTAGGAGATGCTGGAGACTTTATATATGCTACTCAGTACTAAGACTGGTGTTGTTCAAGAGATGATTCTGCTGGTTTCCCAGCCTTGTAATCTTGGAGATTCTGAATGGATCCAGTCAAAAGGTTTTAAAACAAAAGGGGAAGAAAACCCATGGGGCCGGCATTCAGGAGCCAGTTAGGAACCTCCATGTGACTGTGGATGAGACAGTTTGGCTGCGGTGTCCAAAGCACAGCATCCTCTCCCCTTCCCCTGTGACTTGCATGATGTCTGACTCATGAGGGCTGCTCCACTGCTTCATTCTTATGCCTGGAAGGTGCTCCTTCTGCCTGTCTTGCTTCCCCATTTGGTGTCACTCCCTCCCTTTCTATGGAACGAATTGCTTGGTGGTGCCTGGGGATGGTCTTGGAACCATTTCAGAGCCGAAACCTTGTTTTGCGCTCTCCCTTGTCATTGCCTTCTCTGTGTTGTCCTTTAGGGCTGGGGGGGGAGGGGTGTATGGACCTCAGCTTTGGCCTGCTCAGTGGAATTTGCATATTACCAGCATAACGACATGACCTTTGCAGGATGAGATCCTCCTTTCTGCTGCTCCTAGATTTTTTTTCTCTCTCTCTGCACCCTGTTGGCCTTTGACAGTCTCTCTGTCCTATCACCTGATCCACAAGGGATGCTCTGGCCGGTAGGGGAGGACAGAGAAAGTTTCACAGTGTTATCTTGGGATGTGTTGGGTTAGTTTGTCAAGGAGAGCTGACCAAAGAGGCTGGAGACCCTGGGACTGCACAGGGACACTGTATACTGCACTGCAGATCAGCCTCAGGAACTGTTGACACTGTATACTGCACTGCAGATCAGCCTTAGGAACTGTTTGGTGTATAACCTTTATAATGTATTAGCCTCCCCCCAATCTATTTAGGCCTTTGCAGTTCAGTTCAAAAACATCCAAGTAACAAAGGTTAAGAACCACTGGTGTAGAACCTTTATAAGGTATTAGCCTCCCCCAATCTATTTAGGCTTTTTCAAAATTCTTGGTTGTTCATATTTTCCCCCCCACTTTCCCAAGAGACTTGGCCTCATTGCCAGATCAAACCTGCTGAGTCCTTGCTTGTAGGCGTGATGTAGTTGGAAGTCTGTGAGCCCATACCAGACACAAAGGTTAAGAACCACTGGTGTAGAACCTTTATAAGGTATTAGCCTCCCCCAATCTATTTAGGCTTTTTCAAAATTCTTGGTTGTTCATATTTTCCCCCCCACTTTCCCAAGAGACTTGGCCTCATTGCCAGATCAAACCTGCTGAGTCCTTGCTTGTAGGCGTGATGTAGTTGGAAGTCTGTGAGCCCATACCAGACCCCTTTTCTGGTAGCCCATGAAGTCTCTTGGCGATGAGCAAGTCTCGCCTCTGCGGTCAGTCTCGGCGTGTGACCTTAACAGAACCACTGTCTTTCAGGACCATCCTCCATGGAGTGGTGAGACTGGTCTGGAATATAACCAAGATCATCATTAATGATAGAATCATAGAATAGTGAAGTTGGAAGTGGACCTATAAGGCCATCAAGTCCAACCCTGTGTTCGATGCAGGAATACAAATCAAAAGATATCTGCCAAGTGGTTGTCTAATTTTCTCTTGAATGCCTCCAGTGTTGGAGCGCTTACCAACTCTCAAGGTAATTTGTTCCACTGTCGTACCGCTCTAACAGTTAGGAAGTTTTTCCTCCTCTTCAGTCAAAACCTGGCTTCCTGTAACTCGAGCCCGTTGTTGTGTGCCCGTTAATGTACAGCAGATATTTATTCAGAATAATTCTGCTTTTCACATTTTCCAAAATAATTCATTAGAACTGAACATTGCCAGTTACTGCTCCTGCCTTAGCTCCTTATTACCTGTGGTATTTGTTTTATGCCTGCACGTGCAGCATCTTAAGGAACCACAGAGCAAAGAGCAGTTGAGAGGCGGCTCAAATGGAAGCTGTTTGTGAGTCAAGGAATGGGTCAGATTCACCCCAGAGTTGTTATGGGTCATAACTTATGACCAACTTAGCAAGAACCTAAGCCATTGTTTTTCACTGGCCATTGCTAGTGAAGCCCATGAAATGAATAGCTGAGTAAACTGTCCTGGTCACTGTAAGAAGAGGTGGTTGGACTCTGGTAGCTTACCATCATGCTAGGAATTTCCTCTTCCAATATCACACCTCTTCTCTCTTGCTTTCCAGTTTCTCTGCCTCTGGATCTACATAGCACAGGCTTCTTCCTTCCTGAGACCTTCCATTGGTCTCAAATGGAACCCATAACCACTGTTGTTCCACAAGGCTGGGAAACCTTGGTTTAAGCCCTTCCGCTTGGCCAAGCCCTAGGACTTTCAGCTCCTTTGGGCTTCCGGCTGAACATTTAATTAACTTCTTTTATTTGTATCCTGCGTAAGTCAGCCACAAAGGGACCAAGCTTGGCCTTTCTTCTGGCAACTGTAAAGCAGAGCATGGAAGAGTTACCTTGTGGCTGGTAGTTGTGCTTTCTGGGAAATGAACTCTAAAGTCATAACATTCCCCAGCTCCCCTCCATGTGCCCTCCTCTAGGACACTGGGTCTGACTCTGCCTTCCTCACACACAAATGCTTCTCTCCCCTTCTTTGAGATTGTGCCCAAGCATCAGTGGCTTAAGAAGCCACACCAGTGGCCGGTGTTGGGTGGGTAACCGAAATGTGTTTCTTCTGTGGATGTGATTCCAGCAATGAAAGCTCATTTTAACCTTGCGGACTCTTAGCTCCATAACAGTTATATGTCTTCTTTATTCAAATATTTGTTAGGACAAGTACTCATAAAACACTCAATATGTACAGAGGAAAAGAATCTCATATTTAAATACAGTCTATGGCCGCTAGCAACATGCAAGCCTTCCATTATATGGTGTGAGGTTGGACTACAAATAGCCCTTCCATTTCAATATTGTATTTGGTGATCTTTGACAAGCTGTAGGCTTAATTAAAATAAACAGTTGCAAAGTTCCCTCCAGCTGTCAGTTTTTCCTGGCGCAAAGAGCACTTCACAAAGTTTTGGGTTTGCAAATAACATATGAAGAGAGATATAATATATCTTGGGCTTTGTGTAGGGACTAGAGGGTTGGGGTCCCCCCCCCTATTTAGTATTATATATCTGAAGGAATTCTCATGCTGTCTGTTACCGTTGTGCAGCCATCTTAAAACATTCCCTTGTACCCAAACCAGTTTAAAACAGAAATGCTTTGGGTTTACCTTTCCCAACATGGTCCCCAACCTTTTGGGGCTGTTCCTTGTACCCAAACCAGTTTAAAACAGAAACGCTTTGGGTTCACCTTTCCCAACGTGGTCCTCAACCTTTTTGGGGCTGCGGACTGGCTGGGGGGGGGAGCGAGCTCCATGCGCGGGGGGTTGTCCAGGAGCATGACACAACCAGTGCAGGCGCGACATGGCCCCCACATGCATGCGGGGGCGGTGGAGATCCATATCCGCGGCCAACCAGTGCAGGCGCGACATGGCCCCCACGTGCATGCAGGGGGCGGTGTAGATCCATATCCGTGGCCCAGCACCGGGCCATGGACCAGGGGTTGACGACCCCTGATCTAGAGGACTAGATTGAAGGGAGCTACTGTGGACAGCAAGAAATATCAACTAATATCTGAAATATTCCCTTTAATGTACACGACTGTGGTGATCGAGTAAGATTTGAAACAGTATAATAAATTTTGGATAGTTTTTTTAAATGTCTCCTGTTGCTTTTAAAAAAGGATAAATAGTCTTAAATATATTAAATGCATCCTTGGAGGTGAGCAAAAAGTCTAATTCAAAACAATGGAAAGGAATGTGTGTCTGTCTTAAAATGTATAATAAAACTTGGTCCTTGGAGAGATTTTATAGTACACCAGTATCTGTATAAAAGTTCCCAGAGTTGTGATCCAGATTAAATAGTTAATGAAACTCTTGCCTCAGATGTAATGCAGCTGGTGTTACATCTTCCTTAGTTTTATTCGGTATTCCAAATATAGTGTTTTGTGTGTGATGCTCACTACTGTGACATCTGAGTGTCTTGTGGCATTTTGTCAGTATGAGACTTGCAGTCTGCTTTTGCCTCCTCCTTCTCCAGAGAACATGTTGGTGACTTTCTGTGACTAAAGAGCAGAGTAGAAGACAGCAAAACCTAAGGTGGGAGAAGGGTGATAGACGACTGTGAAGGTCATAGGTGAGTGGGTTGCCAGTGCAGGAAAGACAGAGTGGAGGAAAGAGCAAGGCTGAAGCAGGAGGTTGGAATGGACATCTCAAGGGTGATGCACAAGACCAGTTTTGGTGTAAGCAGCACGCGCGTGCCCCCACTCACGAAGCATTTTGCAGGAAGGTACAAGCATGGAGACTCACAGAGCTCCATAGAAACCTCTGAAGGCTGAGGAGAGGGCGTGAAAAAGTAGCATCACTGTTTGTCCTGTCCAGAACATTGTCCTCGGATGGTTTGTTGGTTTAGAGGACTGCCTTCGGGTGCAATTCCCAGCCCATTCCATCCCTTTCCTGCCCTCTCTGCTTCCCCGCCTGCAATTCCAGCTTCTTTCTCACAAGGCTGCTGTTGCTGTTCTGCTCCGTGTTTTTCCATTCCCCTAGGGCCCTGGTACCTTGTCTTGGCTGTAGGTAACTTCTGTCTCTCTCTTTCTTTCCCCTCTCCCCCTTTTCTCCTTATGTGTGCGTTGTGCGTGTGTGCTTGCTAACAGGGAGGATTCAGGTCTCTTCAGGTAATACCTTTTCTATAACCCTACTCTGGTTGGGAACGGGAGGGTCTCAGCCCGAGTGTGAGTCACTTCGTGCCCTCTTGGCCCCTGTCCGTAAGGCACTGCCAGCCGAAACTGCTGCTATTTAGTCCTCGAGAAAACAACAGGCTTTGCCTGGGATATCTCTTTTTCTTGCATCCATTTTCTGGTGAGGTTTGAGGGGCAGGAAGGTCCCTGAAATCGTTGCCCACCATAAAGGTCATCTTCCGTGACCCAGGAAGAGGTGGGAGATTTCTTTACACATCTAGCAGCTTCTGGGCCATCCTCTTTCTCCTTTCTAAAAAGTGCTTCCTGAAGGGGAGGCTGCATTTTCATGTTTCCTCCCCCAGGATGTTGGGACTTGGAGTGCCTGGAGAACTGAGTTCAAATTGCCACATGTCCACAAAATTTCACTGAAGGGTGGCTGTAGAAAACCTCTCCCGAAACATTTCACCTTCCTCTAAAACCCTACTGGGGTCACCATTAATCAGAAGTGACTTGATGGCATGCACTCAGAAAACAATCTGAAACTTGCACAGCCTTGCCAGTTTCTATTAGACAGAGTCGCTTACACCACAGGGTTTTTTTGGGTGTGGGTGGGGGAGATGAGGATGAGACCCATTTGTTGTCCATGTAACTTCTGTTATGAATCTTTACTTCATGTTTGTGTTTGCATTTGTTCCATAGAATGAAACTTTTGTAATCCTGTGGGGCAAAGATTAGCTCCAGATTCAACTGAGCTGATTCTTTTCTCTTTTCCCTCCCCAATAAAACCAATCAGATTTTCTGGCAAGAAGTGTAGGTGCTTTCCCCCCACAGTTCTTCCCACCTTCCCAAAGTGGCCCTCCAAGTCAGCCAGCTGTTGTCTCGGATTATTGGAGAAGTTGGCACACGGATCATCCCACAAAACTGTCACCATGACCTACAGACCTTAGTACTTTTGTCTTTGGAAAGCCAAAACAGAGGACACATATTGTCATGCAGAAATTTTCCATGCATCAGGGTTTTTTCACCCCTCGGCAGCCTTCTGGGCTTGAAACTTACTTTCTTCTAAAAACAAAGCCCAGGGTGCAGTTTACAGGGAACGTATTAGAGCGCACCGGTTTGCATTAGCAGTCCTGTTCTGTGTTTTCAGCCGAGGCGGATTCCTGCACGCAACCAATATAGCGTCTTGGGCAATTTGGGGAGGGAGGGGAGGCAGTGGGGCTGGCGAAGGGGGAAGCAGCTGTATCTCTGGAAAACTTCCGGCCAGGCCTTGCTAACCAAGCATGCCCCTCTCTCCTTTCTTTCTTGAAGCATTTCTACCAGAGCAGGGCCCAGCCTCCGACAAGTGCTTCCCGAGTGCAGAGTAATACGTCGGCTCGGCCTGGCCCACCCACTCATGTTTATCCAGCTGCTTCCCAGGTGATGATGATCCCCTCACAGATCTCCTACCCTGCTTCGCAAGGCGCCTACTACATCCCTGGACAGGTGAGGGCTGGATCAGGGGCTGAGGCCTTTGCAGATCTGGGGAGCTTTTCCTGCCTTCCCTAGCAAACAGGGCCACCTGGAAGTCTGCTTTTAGTTTGGTCTGCTGTAGCTTTTGGGGGTGGGCCACAGCCTTCCCTCCGTGTGCCCTTACTGTAAACTATGTACATACCTGCTGACTGCTAGCATCATAGCCACGGCTGCAGTGTTTCCTATGATTATCTGTTGAGGATTGCTCTGTGTGCTTCCCAGAGGTTGCCATGTTTCGTAGAACAAATTAAAGTAGATCAGTTGTAATCCTCCTTATTCATGTGCATACAAGACTTCCTTGCAGCCTTGTTTGCTGGAAATAAGAGTTGTTGGAGTTCCTAGGCATAGCTGAGAAACATCTATATGCTAGTGAGGAGTGACAGCAGATTTGAGATGTTTCCTGTATGATCTGAACGTGCTGCTCATAAGACCTCGGGAGGTAACAAAAGTGTCCATGTGCATGATTTTTTTAACCCCTTAATGGGACATGTAGACTACATTCCCAGAGGCTTGGGCTGTGCAAAAGCATACTAAATATTCTACTCTGTGCTTCCTTGGCCATCCCAAACCAGTTTGAATCAAAAGCGTCATGAGCCTTTTCAGAGAAAGTCAAACGAGTGTAAACTTTGAGGAATCGTACCAGAGGAAAGGCTGATGGGTGCTGCATGGCTTCTCGCAGATTGTATTCTGTCCCTAGAAGGGGTGCTTTGAAAAATATACCTGGTTAATCTTGAAGCTCATGGGAGGATCATGGACCTCCTGTTAAGACCGATGTTAAGTTGGCCCAGGCCACTATATGGTGGACGTACTCCACATGGGCTGCAAAATTTAGAGTAATAAATGGTGAGCTCCTCTGTTTGTCCCAGAAGGGAAATACCTCATAGATTAGGCCTCCTGCAGTGTACGGGCTTGTCATTTAAAAAAGGTTCAGACTTACTTGGTAAAAATGATTAGGTGAGAATGATCAGTTTAACACTTCTGTTAATCTGGTTGCAGTTCTACTGTGTTGTACGTACTTCTTGATGTATCTCAAGAAGAGACGGGCATCAACTGAGGTTCAGCCTGGTTCGGCGTGGTCTCTGCGCAGGTGTTCTGCTGGTGCCCCATGTGATCCTCCTCCCAGCTCCTCTGTGTGGTCTTCTGCTGCTGAGTTGCTGGTCACCCAGAAGAGGTGGGAGAAAGAAGTATGTGGCGCTTGCAGAACACTTGTGTGGGTACTGAACTGGACCGAACTGCAGTTTGTGCCCATCTCCAGTTAAAAGGCCTAGAGATCCTGTCCTGCATTTTGATTAGCCATAGGAACTTCATCAAGCTTCTGAAACACTCCTGCCTCTTCTCACGGCTACTTTTGCCCCATAATATAGCCAGAGAGAATAGAGGTATATACATCTCATGTATGCAAGCGGCATGGTCACAAAGCGGTGAGTGGGCCTTACCTTGCTTCTTGGGATGGTTGCACAGCTCCAAGAAATGTCGGTCGCACAGCATGCTGGTGGAGTTTCGTGCTTCGAAAAAAGCGAGTTCAGCCCAATGTCACCTGGTGGTGGCTACTTTTTAAGCTGTGGAGGAGAATCAAAAAGAATCCAAAACCCGATAAACTTCACAGGGTGGTTGTGAATATAAAAAAGAAGGTAGGAAGTATGGTGTACATTTCTTGAATCTCCTTAAAAGAAAGATGGGAGGGAAATGTGATTTAAAAAAAATAAAATGACTCAATTGAAAAGGATACTAAAAAGCTGTGGTTGGGAGAAGCCCCTTGTAATACTTCCTGTGCAAACCCATGCCTTTGGGAGGGTTGACGTTAGCTTTAAGAGCAGCAACTTGAAGGTTTCCCTTACTTTCCTGGGCCCTGGTGGGAATGGAAGCCCAGGCTGCATATCCTCTCTCAGGTTGGTGTCTAGATGTGGGCAGAGTGTGGCCGTGGGCCACATGTATCCCCAAGTGGACTCTGTGTGGTCCATTACCTGCCCACCTCCATGTTTATTTTTCTCACAATAAGTGTATTTTGCCCTTTGGATGTCCCTTGGGGGTTTGATTTCCCATATACACCTAATCTTTCCCCATTCTTGCGCATGGTTCATGGCTTAGAAAGTGGCTATCGGACTGTCACTTCCTGTTCCTTTTCTTTTTTAAAAAAAGAGTCTTTCAAAGCCTTAAATAGAGGCCCCAGAGAGGTCTGAAGTGCTGCCACCCCACTCAAGTTACATTAATTCTTTAATCTTCCCACCATAATCTTCCAGTACTCACCTACTGTACTTTTCTTCCTGACCTAGGGACGTTCCACGTATGTTGTTCCGACACAGCAGTATCCTGTCCCGCCAGGTGCCCCCAGCTTTTATCCTGCAGCCAGCCCCACAGAATTCAGCACCTATGGTAAGGGATGAATGTGCGTCTGTAGTATGCAGTGTACAGTTTTTGCCTCTTTCAAAGCAGCCTCTGCTGAGATGCTAGGTTTGATTTTTCTGTGGGTGTATTCTCTGTCGCCTTCCCTGATGATCCATGCGTAGAGGGCTCCAGCTACATGGCCACATTGAACCATGGGTATTACAGAATAAACTTGAGAGGGTCCTCACTCAGTTGCTTCTTGCCTATGGAAATCTAGCATATGTTGTTGTCTTGTTAAAATACAGTGCTTTTGTTGGTAAGAATTGGACTTTAAGAATTTCTAGACTCCTAGAATTCGCCATGTATTTCCTGCAGGCAAAATGCTGGGAGATGCAGCCAAAGCATTAAAAGTCTACAGACCAGTTTCCTTACCTACATGGGTGCATAAGTCAGCATAACGCCTTTCAAAAACAAGGGATCTGTTCCAGTGCTCCCTGCGATTTGCCAGCATTCGTAGCAAGAGTAGTCTTGTTGACCATATGGCTTTACGTAGGTGCCTTCCAAAGTTAGGGACGTGGTGGCGCTGTGGGCTAAACCGCAGAAGCCTGTGCTGCAGGGTCAGAAGACCAGCAGTCGTAAGATCGAATCCACGTGACGGAGTGAGCGCCCGTCGCTTTGTCCCAGCTCCTCACCAACCTAGCGGTTCGAAAGCATATAAATGCAAGTAGATAAATAGGGACCACCTCGGTGGGAAGGTAACAGCGTTCCGTGTCTAAGTCGCACTGGCCATGTGACCACGGAAGATTGTCTTTGGACAAAATGCTGGCTCTATGGCTTGGAAGCGGGGATGAGCACCACCCCCTAGAGTTGAACACGACTGGACAAAAATTGTCAAGGGGAACCTTTACCTTACCTTCCAAAGTACTCTGTTGTTGCTATTTAGTCATTAAGTCATGTCCGACTCTTCGTGACCCCATGGACCAGAGCACACCATGCCTTCCTGTCTTCCACTGCCTCCCGGAGTTGTGTCAAATTCATGTTGGTCGCTTCAGTGACACTGTCCAACCATCTCGTCCTCTGTTACTCCCTTCTTCTCTTGCCTTCACACTTTCCCAACATCAGGGGTCTTTCCAGGGAATCTTCTCTTATTATGAGATGTCCAAAAGATTGGAACCTCAGCTTCAGGCTTTGTCCTTCCAGTGAGCATTCCGGGTTAATTACCTTCAAAATGGATAGATTTGTTCTCTTTGCAGTCCAGGGGACTCTCAAGAGTCTCCTCCAGCACCACAGTTCAAAAGCATCAATTCTTCGGCGGTCGGCCTTTATGGTCACGCTCTCACTTCCATACATTGCTACTGGAAAAACCATAGCTTTGACTATGCAGACCTTTGTCGGCAAAGTGTCTCCAAAGACCTATTCTTCCCAAAATCCTTGTGACTCCTTTGAAACCTTAAAAGGCTCCGTTTTTGTAATAAGAACCAAGGTGCTGAAGAGAACTCATGGAGATAGAGGAAGCTGGTGTGTGTCTCCCGGAATTCTGCTTGGAGAAATTCTTGGTGTTAGAATACAGAAAATCCAAAAGTTCTGTCCCCATTAGTTGCCTTGAGGACTGAAAACTCGGCCTTTCAACAAAAAAGTAATGAGTTCAAAAGATGCACTGGCAGAAACATGATCCCATGGTTTGTGGCAAGACTGTAATTCATGCACGTTTCCAGACTATAAGGGTGGACAATACAGAGATCTGAGTCTCCTGGTGTGTCTGCACATGATACGAAGTAGATTTGCAAGGATTTCTGTCTCCTTGTTATTGTCAAAAGTAACAACAAAATGAATCCCAAGGCCCAGATTATTCTGCTGAAATATAGAAAGCTGAAGGCAATCAGAAATAATTTTTAAAAGAAGGGCGGTGAGCTCATTTTTCTTTTGATAAATAGTTCCTAGGCTCACAGTTTTTATTCTAAGTGTATGTCGTTTGCCCTGAGGGTCTCTTTTCATTTTAGTAAGTCTTGCAAGGTGGTGGAATCCTACAAAGTAGATCCTGAAAACCTGCCCTCCGTTTGGCTCCTCTAGACAGTAACACTCCCTGCCCCAGGTAGCTCCAGGGTTAGGAAGGTGGAGAAAGAGAGGATGGGTAAACGGATCTGAGATTACAACTGGAAATCAAATTGCAAATAGGTGTGGGTTTCTTCCACTAGGAGTCTCAGCAGGGAATAAGAATTAAAGTCTTTCAGAACAGAGTTACGAGGAAACGGAAAGTAACTCTCCCTGTGTCAGTGTATCTGTCTATGTGCATAGCAAAAAGATACTGTGTTTCACCAAAAATAAGACAGGGTCTTATATTAATTTTTGCTCCAAAAAAACGCATTAGGGCTTATTTTCAGGGGATGTTTTTTTTTTTCATCTACAACAATCTACATTTATTCAAAAACAGTCACGTCATGTTTTTCTGGTTGCTGCACAAGGGTGAATGGCGGGGTTTCACTTAATGGGGCTTATTTTTGGGGTAGGGCTTATATTATGAGCATCCTTAAAAAAAATCATACTAGGGCTTATTTTCAGGTTAGGTCTTATTTTCAGGGAAACAGTTTAGTTTTGTCAGTGTGAAAAGACTGGTGGAATTATCACAAGATTGGTCAATGAGTCCAGAGATTGTCCTGTTAGGTCTCATCATATGAACTTACTGGAAGCCGTGTCACAAGCTGCTCTGATTTATTCTCTGCTTGCTCATTCTGTTATGAGTAGCTGAGAATACCGGTCTACACTACAAGGCTGTTGTAAGGATTTCCACATGGGAAATGCTTTTGAACACTCAGAAGACTCTAGTAGCACTTAGTAGCACTTCATTCTTCATTTTGCTCCCATAGGGAAGTATTTGAATTCTTGAATGGTACCACATAAAGATTCTCTCTCTCTCTCTCTCTCTCTCTCTCTCTCTCTCTCTCTCTCTGTGTGTGTGTGTGTGTGAGAGAGAGAGAGAGAGAGAGATAGACAGACAGACAGACTCTCATATGAAAAACACATTTTATGCAAAAAGCTAGAACAGCTTCCCAACCTGGCATTTTCCAGATGTTTTTGACTTTAGAACCCTTGACCCTAGTCAACATGGTCAGAAATTATGGGAATTGTTGTTGAGCATGCTTGGCAGAAGCAGGATAGGGAACCTGGCGCTACATGGTTGATATCCTTTCCTTCAATAAAGTTCTTGAGGCCATGGCTGGACAGCTATCTGTTAAAGTTTCTGATTTTTTTTTTAATCAAAGAGGGAATTTCAGCAGATGGTTTATGAGGTTTTGCAACTTCAGAAAGAGAGATTCTAACAGAGCCTCTTCCTCACATGCTGGCTTTCTACATGCAGGAACTTCTTCATCTGGATGAGTGTCCAAAAACATGCCCCTCCGCCAACAGCAGTGAAATTCAAAATGCTACCACTTTATACTGTATAAAGTGTAGAACTGAAGTCCGTGAAGTGTGTTTGGTACATATAAGCAGATGGAGCTCTTTTTCGTGCTGAAGACTGTTAATCGTCTATAAATTCAGTTACAACTAGCCTTGTCCTGTTCGTGTGACCATTCCTCCCCCTGGTCTTTGAGTGAATGGGTCTTTTTTCATTAAAAAGAGGAGTACTGCGGCAGAAAGAAGTGTGATTGTAAGGAGGAAAGGCGCCAGGAAAGGTTTGGCTGACAGACCTGTACCTGGATTGCACTGTCTCAGATTGCCAGTGAGGAGACTCTTGCCATAGAGTGTTCCTTTGTACAATAATTGGATAAATTAATTCCCTGTCCAAGAGAAAGGGTTGTGCCAGGGGAGGGGGAGGAGGATTGTAGCCTAACCTAGGTTTTTCTCTGGCATGCTGTGTTTTTCTGTCTAGGTTTTTGGTAAGCTTTGTTGTATTTTGTTTGATGCAATGCCTTATATGCCTCTATACAACATAAGCATCTCAGCAAGCGCTAGTCGAGCGACTCTCTCTTCCTCTCTCTCTCTCTCTTTCTCATTGCCAATACTCCTTTGAGGGCTTTAATATACCTTCCCAGTACTGTAGCTCAGAATCTTGGCAAGTGGTCTTTGGTTCACTGCAGAGCTGAGATGATTAGAAAAATAGCAAGTAAAGGATAAATTTGGAGGGGGAAAGCCCAATAGGCAGAGTCAATGCAGGTTTCAATTAAACACAATTTTGCCAAACAGTGTATAACTGCAGATGCTCTAACCAGTTGCTCTCAAGGTCAGATCCCCGGATGTTCTTGGATGAAAACTCCCAGAAGCCTCCACCACTAACTGTGCTGGCCAGGATTTCTGGGAGTTGTAGTCCAAGAACATCTGGGGACCCAAGGTTGGGAACCCCTGCTGTAAACTGAGCTTCCATCTTCTGCCTTTCTTGGCTTCGCTTTTCTGTCCAGTCACTCCAGTGCCTTAAGAATGGCATTAAATTCCTTAGCCAGACTTCTCCTGCCCAAAGTTTTGGACGTTTGTTCTATCATCGCCTTGATTCTGGACTAAGGAATATTTTCCATTTACTGTTGGGGCTACAAGGCATGGAAATCCCTGGAAGCTTCAGAGTGTTGGTGTCTCATGCTGCACACCTCTAATATTACCCAAGGACTGCATCCTTCAGTACTTTTGAAATGTATCTGTTCTCAAAATATTGTTGGAAAATGATCCTGACTCACAAACAGACTGGATGTAAGTCTGTGCTGGCAGGAGACTTGGGAAACAATCTAGCAGGAACATCTTCCTGTGTCAGATTCCCTGAAAATAAATTGTGACGGTTTTTATTGCATTCCATCTCAATACGTATTTGTTTGTAGCACTTCTGGCCTTACTCTTGAGCTCAAGACAAGGCTTCCCACAGTGACTCACAATAAGAGACCAGGACCGTATGTGTTTAGGGAGACAAGAAACGCATCATCTTCCCCTGGACCCTCCTCCTCTCGTCCCATATCTGGAGGGGACAGATCCAACTAGAGTTTAATGGATAACTACCTTGCTTGAGTTTATGTAGACTTTAGCCCTGGCTGTTGTTCCAGCAGAGAAGCAAAGAGTGAGTTTGTTATTCACTTTGATATGATTTCCCCTTACGTGGAGTTTTCTGCACCGCCCTTTGTGGTGTTTAGGGAGGGACTGAATGGGTAGGCAGATGCATAGAATAGGAGATAACCTATCTCTGTGTGTATCACCCTGGCCCTGAATTATTCCTCTTGGGATCCTCATTCACTCCACTTATCCTAGATTTAATATTTCCCCAAAGCTCCTGAGTTGGCTGAGTTTTTTGGTCCTTCTCCTTCTCCTCTTCCCTTCCCCCTGCCCGCCCCACACGGAGCTCACATGCTCACTGAGGGCTCTTGCTATATTTAGCTTGGATCTGTCCCAGGCCGTGGCTTCTGCAGATTCAGAAATGTGAGCCGAGGCCTCCATCCCAACCTAGTCCTGCATGTCACCGTTCCGTTTCTTGACTGCTGCTGCGGAGGTGGCAGTAAAGCATCTGCTCACGACCCCTTTCAGAAAGGTAGGTGCCTTTGGCCTCTTCCGCAGAGGGCTGAATTGCAGCGGGTGGGCCCATCCTGGTCCACTCTACTTGGATCAATCACCTCTTTGCCACGTTTCGTATTGCTGGGCAGAGAGAGTGAGGGAGAGACTTCCGTGTTGAAGATCTCAAAATGGGGTCCATGCCTTAAACTGGAGACAGCGGCACAAACTCAGCCGTCCTCAATCTCCCTTCCTCTTTGGGCTGTGTTGACAGGAGAAGGGGGGAGCCTGACCATCTTTTTCTCTCCTGTTTCTCAGCTCCTAAAGGCCCTCCAGTACACAGGAGGAGAGACAGTGATGTCACTTTCCATGATGAGGGCAAGCCTGTAAAGGCAGCTGCGTCATGCTGGCTTGCTGTCGTGTGGCTGCTGTTGCTGCTGCTGTGTTGGGGCTGGTTGTCAGTGTATGCACTGCACTCTCCACCCATAAAGTTTATTAGGCCAGATGATTCAGCACTGTCAGTATGCTGCCGCCATGCGCTCAGAACGGGTCGGACCAGTCAGTGCGGCTGTTTTCCTTTCTTCTTCTTTTTCCTTTTTTATGGTCTGACAAATGCAAAGAATCCATAAGCAGCGGAGTTGGGAGTTTATGGGTGTTGAATGTCCTGACTACAGACGTAGGTCGAATAATGCCTAGTGGAGCTGAAAAATAGCCTCTGAATAGCCTGCACTGATTTTTATTTATTCTTGCCTGTACCTTTGCATCTCTTATACTAACCAGGGTGAGGGGTATGTGGCTGTCCAGATGTTGCTGTGCTGCCACACATTCCCTGCCCTTAGTTTAACAGAAGAGAGATGCAGAGATACAAGCAGTCTCCCGTTATCACCGTTGGGCATGCAGGCTAAGACTGATGGGAGTTATAGCCTAACAGAATCTGGAAGGGCTGCATTTTCTCTTTTAAAATGTCTGAGTGATATACAGCAGGCGTCTGTTAGTCTAGGCACTTGTCCTCCATACCCCTTTGGCTGAGTCTGGCAGCATACTGTGCTGCTGGACCTTCACACTCTTTCCCATTGTATCTTTTCTTTTCAGACTTTTTGTTCTGTCAAGTGACTAGCAGTACCTGATGCAGCTTGGTTAGGTAGGCAGCCGCATCTACAGAGGACAGAGTCACAACGTTCTTCTGTGTTCTGTTCTGTTTGAGAAACCCGTGACTGCCAAGTTGCTTTACTGCTTGTTTCCCTGTGTGGCGCAGTCCTAAGTTTGTTTCTGAGGGCAGGTCTCCTAAGTACATAGGAAAGGTGCAGTCTCTCCCTTCCTCAGCCTCATGCCTTCCAGATGTTTTGAATTAACCACTTCCATCAATCCTAAGTAGAGATGGGCACAAACCGCCAGTTCACTGGTTCGTGCTGGTTCATTTAGTTGCTGAAGAGGTGTTTCGGGCTTCAAAGCCCTGCCTCCTCCGGGGAGCACTCACTCAGAGGCAGCAGCCTGGCTTCCCTGCCCCATCTCCTCCAGGTGCTGTCTCTGAGTGGGCACCCACTGAAGGAGGCAGGACTGTGAAATGCTGAGCACCTGTTTGGCTGCTAAAGGAACCAGCATGAACCGCCCTACTGTGCCCGCCTCTATTCCTGAGCATTGACCATATTGGCTAGAGCTGATGAGAATTATGATCCGTAATATCTGGCACACGCTAGGTGGGGGAATGTTTGTGCCACAATAGGCAAGTTTTAAGATTGGAGTCAGGCACATATAGCCAACGTGCCTGAAACTTTGATAATATCCTCTTGGGAGTTAGAAATGTTCATCCAGGCTTGAATCCTTTGTTCTCTTTTTAGGTGCCATAGAATTATTTTGTCTAACAAGCTTTCTTCTCTGACTATTTCCGTAGAACAATAGTCTACAGCTGCCTAGAGTGGTCTGTTAGGCCAGATAGGCGGGGTATAAATCAAATAAACAAATAACTAATTAAATACAATCTACATTCCCCACAAAAGTGAGAGCCTACAACTCCCATCTGTTCCAGGCACTTTGAGCAATAGTTGGGGATGTTAAGGTGCTATAATGCAAAACTTCTGGCTGTTCGGGGAGGCTGTTATAGAGACTGTGATTCTTGACATGATTACCTCTGTGCACATTTCTAGAACTTCCCTTTTCTGTACCCCAGTTCTAGATTCAGTCTTGAAGAACCTTGGACAGGAGAATGATTTTTCAACTGTTAGTCCCATAGGTAGACTAAGAAAAAATGCCATGAATATTTGAAAGGAGATACAGCCATAAGACTCAAAGGTTGGCTGTATGAATTGGATACCCAAAAGCAGATGAAGTCGTCTTTATCTGTTTCTGTCCCTGATTGTTTTATAATCATGGAAGAATATATGTTCTTCCTTGTCCTATTCATGAGGACAATTTGCAAGGGAAAGGAAGAAAAAGCTGAGAAGATGGGCTGTGGCATCCTGTGACACATCATTCCAGATTGCAGCAATCGTATGCTCTGCCTTCCCTTCGAGCAAAGGAGGTTGCAGGTTTAGTTCACCGCAGCCAAAGCTCTTTGGTGTACTTTGATCTCAGTTGGGCAGGGTGTCACAACCTCAAAATAGAGGTTGCCCCAGTTGGAGAAGTGGGGTGGCTTGGGGGCACCTGGTATCATGGAGAAAGAATGCTGAGGTGTTGCTTTTGTTTGAACCTGTTGGTCAGGTTCTTGATGTTTCTGACCAGGGCTAGAAGCCACGGTGCTACCCTTGGAGGCCTCTTGCCTCCTTTGAGAATTGCTGCGGCACCCGCTGGGATAGTCTGTGCAAAGGGGGTGGTTGACCGGGGTGGTTTCCTGCTGGCTAAAATAATGTTTTCCCCACCGAAAGAGGTACTTGGCTGTCCCATTTGGTGTCTGGGACTTACCTTTTAAGCTGGTACAACGATACCTAGAAGGGGGGGACCTGTGGATGAGGTGCCCCTTGTGATTCTAGGATTTGGCAGTATTTTGACTTGCTTTTTCTCCCTCTCCGCCCCAGCAGGTGCCTATTACCCAGCCCAGAGTGTGCAGCAGTTCCCAGCTGCCCAGGTCATGATGAATCAACAGCCACCAATCCCGCCAAAGCGAGAGCGCAAGACGGTAAGACTGAAGATTGGGGACTAGTTGCAGGGTGGGATTTTTTTAGGCTTCCATATTCACAGGTTCCTTTCTTTTCTTTTTTTCCCCTCCCCTCCTAGTTGATCTGTTGGTTCCCCCTCATGCACCCTGTCTAATTTTGTTTAACTTTATTCATTTTCAATTTATGTTGTATATATATGCAATACAGGAAAACAAGTAGGTGCTTGACACTGCCCTCCAGAATTCAAATATAATTGATTAAACTCTTGTCTTTCTTGCTGTAGGTGGTAAGGAAATAATGTATAAATCAGTGTGCTTCTAGATGTTGGGTAGGTCCAAAGTTTGCTTGCTGATGAGATTTCCTTACAGATTTACTCAAAAGTAAGCCCCACCAAGGTCAGTGAGATTTGATCTGACATTATTTTCCAAGTAAAAAGAGGCCTGGGTAGGTTGTGTCGTTTGTGAAAAATTAGATTGCCCCAAAACTCGGACTGATGCAGATGGAAGTTCAGGTAGCTTTTAATGTCACAGAGATGGAGGCTGAGTTGGATTTTCTAAGGATCCACTCCCGACAGTCTGGTTAGTACCTGGCAGGGATAGTAGCTCAGTCCGGAGCATGTGAGACCTCCAGTAGAACACATTCTGGCTTGGATTGCTGCGGAAGTACTCCAGTTGGTCCCTTAGGGGAAGAGACTGTTGCAGTCAGAATGCTTAATACCTTATTAGATACGCTGTGGATTGACTTAAAGCAGAGTTTATTTATTATGTATTTAAAATATTTTTATATCCCGCCTTTCTCCTTAAAAAGAACCCAAGATAGTATTCATCATTAAAAAGACAATATTTAGAAGCTAAAAACAGTAGGTATACAAATATTTTGAAAGAATTAAACAGGTATGATATTAAACACGGTAATAAAATCAATACTAAAACACAGTTAGAACAACAGAGCACAATAATCCATTTAACCTCCAAACCTCCCCCCACAACCATCAGTTATTATGGGAAAGCCTGCCTGAAGAGGAAGGTCTTTGCCTGCCTGCGGAAGGAGAGGAAAGATGGGGCCAGCCTGGCTTCCAGTGGGAGGGGGTTCTAAAGTCTGGGATCAGCAACAGAGAAGGCCCTCTCCTGTGTCCCCCACCAGATACACCTTTGAAGGTGGTTGGACTGAGAGAAAGGCCTCCCCTGAAGATATTAGCACTTGAGGAGCAGGTTCATAATAGACCCGGTCCTTGAGAGAGCTTGCATCCAAACAGTTTAGGGCTTCATAGGTTAAAACCAGCACTTTGAATTGCGCCTGTAAATGGATCAGCTGCCAGTGGAGGAGACAGCAACTTCCTGAGAGCATGCCAGGAAGCTATTCCATGTGCTCTTAGAACTTGGCTCCCTAATCCCACATGTGTGTGAGTTTGCTATGGGTTTTATGGGTAAGAAGAAAGTATTCTGCATGTGCTCAGAGGCACTTGGTTGCTTTATGTGTTGTATGGACTTAGTTTCTACCATTGACAATAGGTTTCAAGGCCCAGTCCTGGTACATGTTAGTTTCTGTTGATCTTCTCTCCCTACCCAACCTAAAACTAAGAGAGACGCAGGGACATTTTTTTCTCCATTTGTCTTGACAACAGTCTCCCTCCCTAGAGGTCAGATCCACCTGGCACCTAAAACACACACAACTGTTTTTAAGTCATGTTTCCTCTCACTGTGTTGAGCCGTTGGCTCCCAGAATCTGCCTACTGGCAGTGCTTGCTAGGGCTTCAACCGTGGATGTCCAACAGACCTGTAGGGCCAAAGATCAAGAACTGCAAGTTTAGAAACTGCTCTTGTGCATTTAATTCTTTCCAGGTGCCTTGATACAAAGAGCTTATGGCTTCCGTCCCCAGCGTGGAACTCCTCCTTGGAATCGCTGGGCATTTCTTAACCTTGCGATACCCATTCCCTGGTCAGAGCAGAGAGCAGTGATGATGTTCCTAGTGGTGTGGCAGATTTTTAAAAAATATCCATAACCAGCTGCTCTCCTTACCTTGATAGAAGATTTTGTAGGTGGGTTTGGAAGGACAGGAGGAGGAGGAGGAGGAGGTCCACCTCCGCCTGCGTTTGTGTAATCGCTGGCTGAAGAGTGTGTGGCAGGAGAGGGGGGTCAGAGTTCAGCCAGGTAGAAGAGTCCGGAATGTGGCTCTACAGAGCAGTACAGTTTGCAAGTGGGTGGAAAGAGCCGGTGTGTATACGCATGCCCATAGGGAGTCTGGGCCCGATTTCTGTTGTGGGATGAAAACAGCTCCTGCAGGATCCTATTCGGCACCTGTGAGGAAGGACCAGGTGAGATTAGTTGACATTTTACGTTTCTGCTTTCCAAAGGACAGATCTCGGAACGCCTTTTAGGGGGAGGGCTTTATTTCAAGGCTGTTGCCTGCACTTCCAGCTCCCTTATCTTAATCTCTGTGGCTGGGACAAGCAACAGGGTTCTGTCACTAGTGACGCTCTCAGCATGGAACGTGCATCCAGATTTAGCTGTCTTTACTTTCTCTTCTAAGAGGATTTTGAGAACCCCCCCCCCCCCCAGCAGTTGATTCAGGAGCACAGCGTGATTTACTGACCTTTCAGCTGTTAAACATTGATCCTATTTTGGTGCTGGATCAGTTAGTTTTTAGTCTTAACACTGGTAGCTTTGTAGCACCACAACTTTAAGAGGTGGCCTATTGGTTAAGAGAGTCAGACTTGGATGTAGGACACACTGAGTCTAGTTCTTACTGAACCATGAGCACCGTCTTTTAGTAGGAAGTCAGAGTATAAATGGACTGTGTAATAGATGCAAGAAACTGAGTGGGTGACGTTGGACCAGTTGTCTTGTTCAGGCTAACCTACTTTTCAGGTTTGTTGTGAGAACACAAGCAGAGGAAAGTCGTCAACATGACTAAATGTAGTTAATTGTAGTAAAATAGGATGTTACTGGTAGGGCTGGGTGAAGCCCCACCCATGCCTCTTGCCAGCTGTGAGCTGTTCTACGTGCTTCGGTAACCATATGCTCTCAGCAGTAAGACTGGAAATAGGGCTCGATGTTGCTGACACCTTCTCTACTCCACCCTGCGCAGAACCTAGGAAGCGTAATGGGAGGGACAGGCAGTGCACATTTAAATAGACGTGGTTTCTCCTGATTCAGGAGTTGCATTTCTCTCTGTAGGGGAGAAGAAAGTATGAACTTTGGACCACCACTTGGGAGCATTCACAGCCCCTAGAACGCTAGGGATTCTGGAAGTTACTAAGCCTCGGAAAACATTTCTGTAGTCTGCCCCAAGCTAGAGTTTTATCTCCAGAAGAGTTCTGGTGCCTACTTATGTGGCGTCTCCCTAAAGAGACATTATGAGTAACCTATTAGTTGTTGCCACTAGCTGGGGGACCCGGCAGCCTGGTTATGCTGGCCTTTGAACTTTTTATAGTCACTAGGAGTGTGTCATGCAGGTGGGCCTCTGGGCAAGCTGTGGTTGCTGGCTGTTCTATATACATAAATGAAGTTGGCAGATAGGTAGGTCTTCCCCCATCTCCCGCACCCACATCTGTGCTTACACGTGCAGGGCAGTGGTGATCTTTGTTTGGGGTTGAGAAACAGAACTCGGGAGCGGCATTTATTTCGGAACACTTGTGCTGGAATAAGAGGGTTGATTTTGGACTGTTGGGAGGCAGTGGTCCGGTGTCTGTATTAGGCAGTTGTGTCCTTGCAAGGTTGGATGTATGTGATGTCTGTGATGCCTTTCAGCTGAGGTTAGACGGCAACCCACCCTTTAAATGGCTGGCAGCAGGAATGTGCTGTCACAGTTGGGAGGGAAGGCTCAGGAGGATGTTGTAGCTCTGTTTAGAAGTTAGTTTGGAGGCTGTGTGTCTCCTCTGAGAGCCAGTCATGACCTGTGCAGCAGACCTGTTTGTAGGAGCAGGTGCCTCATCAGAGAGGCACAAACGCACAGAGGAGGCGAGAAGTTCCTGCTTGTGCAGATGGCAATTGTGCTTCCCTGGCATTATGTTAATTACAGAAACAGATCCTTCCCGATTCCTATAATGAATGCTTTGGCCCCGATGTCTTGTGTAAGAATGCTCTTTTTGATGCGGTTTCATGTCAGCAGGTGCCCTGGCTAGCTCTGGGGTACTTGTAAAGTTTATTGCGGTTTTCATTGGGAAGATGCAGTGGTGGATAATAATTTGCCAAAAGAGAGTTCACCCACCAGAGCCACTCCTTGCTGACAGATTTTACAGTTGCTCTTCATTTATGCAAAACTGCAATTCCAACAGCACAGCCTCATGTCTTGAGTGCCCTTCTAACCTGTGAAACTCTGCCCTCCACTCTTGTGCAGCAACCAGAAGATGGCATGACTGTAAAATAAAATATCCCCTGCAAATAAGCCCTAATGTGTTTTTTTGGAGCAAAAATTAATATAACACCCTGTCTTATTTTTGGGGGAAACATGGTATCTTCTATACTATATGGGATTTTTTCATCAGAAGTGTAGCCAGCCGAAACATAATTCTCATTGGAGTACGTTGTGATTAACTGGTGCCTTTTGATCTCCTTATGGATAGCTCAGTGGTTTGGGTCTCTGCCCGTGGGACCAGAGGTTGAGCGTTCGAGTCTCCACTGTACCTGCCTGACAGGGACTGGACTTGATGATCCATAGGGTCCTTTGTAGCTCTACAGTTAGTTGGGCAGGCAAATGGAAATGTGTTAGAAGATACGTGATTTAATTTACGGAACTCCATGCCACAGCATATCTTGAGAGCCATTAGCTTAGGTGGAATCCCCATGCTGGTGCCCTGCAAGTGTTTTGGGCTATAACCCCATTGTCCCCTGCCATCATGGGCTTCCGTGTACAGAAGTGACATAACTTTGAATCGCAAAAGTGATCGCATTGCGATGTTCCGAGCGGCCTCGGGGGGAAGGCTCCTCCTCCGCCGCTCGGAAGCGCTGGCTTGGCGC